TTGACAAGAGAATTATCATATCATCCAGCGTTAATTTATACAGCTCCTTTCTTCTCCAAGGTGCACGAAGACAGTTAATCAAAATATTCCTATGTTTGTTCGTTTTTGGTCCTGTACACACAAGCTGGATTACACAAAGCTTACAGCCTTGTTCGATTTTCTTTCTGCATTCTTTTAATTGAAATTTTGTGTCGTTAATTTCAATAATTGTGGAGCCAAATGTTTGTTTAATTATTTTCCATTTTTCATTCCACAATTTTCTCGCCGTGCAGTATATTGTCGCTCTTGGTTGCAGTAGTTTAGTCAGTCTAGTTGTGTATCCTGACCGTACCGTTTTGAACAAAATTGGTATATTCTGATTTATGCACCGTCTCCTGTGTTTCTTCCCTCTCCTTCTTCGCCTATTCTTTCGACTTTTCTTTCCTTTTCCCCTTGTGTTCAGGAATGGGTTGAGTCTCTTAATCAGTGCATTCTCCATCGCTGTCACCTCAGATTTTACTCCTGTCCATATCGGTATCAGAACGTACTTTTCCCAGCCAAATTTCCGTAGCCAACTGTATAACTTACGCTGTGCGCCCCTATTCGGGTTCCTAGCCAGGTTCACATGCTCACACCATCTCTTCTTCGGTTTTCTACCTTTCTTACCTACGTACATGTGTCTGCACCATGGCGAAATGAGAACGTTCACACTATAACTTGCCGTTAGTAACGAATCAATAGATTGGTACTGGGCTATCCACAGGTCAACCAGCGGTCCTGCCCATGGTACTTCTCCGTCTAGTGCTAGTGAAATGAGTAGAAGTCTATACTGTATATTGTACTGTTGACATTTACTTATCTTACCCGTATTCACTAGACATTCTATTGTCGTTGCCAATCTGTGAATCTGCTCCCATTTCTGTGCTCTGGTGAGTCCACCCGTAGGTGGTAGCCCATCTACCTTCCCGATAGGTCTTCAGTGCTTGAGGAGGTGTCTGATGAGTCCTCTTCACTTCCATCACTTGATTCCGAGCTCTCCTCTTTGTCACCTGTGTCTTCATAGCTGGGCGCCTCAATCCTGATGTTGTCCGGATCAGGCCTGATCTGTGTCTCGAGATCTGAGTCACGATTGAAGTCTCATCAGAGAGAGAGAGAGAGAGAGAGAGAGAGAGAGAGAGAGAGAGAGAGAGAGAGAGAGAGAGAGAGGATTCGCAACTGCGAATGGACACGCATCGGTAGAGGGAGGGGGAAGAGGAGGGGGAGGAGGGAATATGAGGGGTGAGAGTGGAACATTGGGGGAAGGCGACGGGGATGGGGAAGCGATGGACGAGCAAGGAGCGGTGGAGGGAACAGAGGCAAGAACGTGGAAACTCTACACGGGAAGAGAGAGAGAGAGAGAGAGAGAGAGAGAGAGAGAGAGAGAGAGAGAGAGAGAGAGAGAGAGA